AAATGTGATCGATCACGTGGCGTCCGCTGTCAAAGCAATTTCGCGCGTGGTTGTCCGGTGCAAGCTCGGTGCCGGTGCTCGGTTACGGTATTAAAAGCCCCAACGGTATTTTGCGATTACGAATACGAGCTGCGTGATCGTGGATCGGTTTCAGAGTACGCCGCAATGAATCGAGCCATTTGCGAGTGCACGTGTGCATGCGCTTGGTGGTAGCTCGGCGACAACGCGAGAGGAGAGGCAATGGGCGCACGCATCGCTGCACGTACGCACATATACGCTGCACATACACGCCCATTATAATACGTTTTATTTAGTTTTGGGACATCATTTGTCATTCGTGTTTATTCATTTGTCTCTCGTAAAAATCGAAGGGCGTTAATTCTCGCGCCGTAAAACTTTTTCTCCCCCTAAGGCACACATTTTAATTTTTTATTTTTTTTTTACACAATTCCGAGAACTTTTGAGTACAACTAAAAGATTAATACGTCGAATGTCAAGTGTCAAAAATATCACAAAAATAATTTTCATGAGAATAGTGCTTTGCTCGTCACGCATATTTTTACATGTTGCATGTTTCGTAATAGAATTTTTCATTGTTACACAGCATAACATTTTATTTTTACAATGTATACCGCAATCTTTATTTCGAAATATGAGATCTCCAATATTACCTCTAAATTCTTCCTCGAATAACGAACGCTTCCGATGTTGCAATTTGAGCCGTGATCTTATCTCAAAATTTTAAGATTCTTAAATTCCTACATTTTTTAAATATTTCCGTAACGCCATAAAATTCTTAATCTCAACGGACTCTTTGTATCTGCTAATCTTTGTTCGGCTATTATACTTCCTTTCAGATAAAACATATCAAAATTCTTTTGTCTCTCGAATACGCCATTCATTATAATGATTTAAGAGAAATTATGTTCTTCTCGAAGGTAAAAATCGTTGTTCGCAGCAATCATTTCTGCGTTCAGCATACAAGCACTGTTTCGATAAGTCTCTGCCAAGTTATTTGTCGCCATAGACATAAAGTAAAAGGACAACTTCTCGTTTTATTTTACCCCTTCAAATATTACGTAGCGCTTCGCACGTAACAGTACCAAGTGCCGGCGACGCACGCAAGTTCCTCTTCCTTCTTCGTCGTCGAGAAATCTTACGAGTAGACAACGCCGTGCGCGATAAAAATAACTCGAGCCTCACCGTCGCGGTCGTCGAGCAACAGCTGCGGGTGATTAGATTATTACCGAACGGGATTGAATCAGCCAAGCACAAAATGAACTCGAGTACGCGCGATCGAGAGTATCGCCACGCGCGTTTCTTGCAAACGGGACAAACTCGGTACCATTAAAGGAAAGAGAAAGATAGAAGGGAAGTGTCATTTACAAAGTTTAGAATTACATTAAACATTCGCACGCTATTAAAGAGCCAATTTGTCTTCTCTTTGAACGAGAGGTGAAATCGCAAACGGGAAAGATATTTATTTCCCACGAATCAGCGAGAGGAAAACTTGGGATTTCCTTATTCTGCGTATTCGAAACCACGGGAAATATCTGTCATAAAAATGTACTGTTATGATTATGATTACGGTAAGGACACGTCGTGAATATGTTTATCGCTCCTTGCTCGGCATACGCAATTCTAGCTCGAATAATTTATCAACTACCGAACTTCTCGGCTCGACAAACCCGACCAGAATATCAATCGGGTCAATCCGCCTAAAAAAATTCACCCTAATATTTCGATATTTCTCGATAAAAACGAACGAGGGACGTATCGCTAGATTACTGTTTTCTCAGAAAGCTTCCTCTTGCAAATATACTTAATGCCGAACGTTCCTTTTATTTTAACTTTTGAATGCATTAAAAGAAATTTTGAAGGCTGCGCAGGATTTTTATATAATATTCTTCTATCTTCATTTTTTTTTCTCTTAGATTTAGATAACTGTCAGAGAAATTTCAAAGCTATTTATCGATAGCATTCAATTAAAAATTATCAAAATCGTTCCTCTACTATTCGAGTATTTTCAAAATTTATTAGGCAGTTGTGCATAAAAGAGTTAATTCTAAAAATTATTACATAAAAAATGTAACAAGCGGAAATGATAATGAATCACGATCAAGCATCTTTCACGACCCGATTTGCTGTTCTGGAGAATAAGTTCGATTGGCTCAAGTTTCACTGCTCACATTGTTCGTGTGCTGTAATCCTCAGTCGAGAAACTTCCCCGACAAGAAGTATCATCGATCAACATCTGGGAAAATGCAAACTTTTCCTGTGAACATTCCGATGAATCCCAAGCGCGAATCAAATGACATTTACAGAAAATCTTATTATATTTCACTTATCGCTGAGGTTATCACCCCTGAATTACCATAATCGCGATAACGTATTTACGAGCGTGGGTTCTCTTATCGAAAAATCCGTCGCGCCATTTCCGGGAACGGTTTGCAGCGACGTACTATCGTCACGACCGACGACATGAGATCTAACGAGCGTACGCGGAAAGATCGCACATCTCCCTCGCGGCAACCGTAAAACCGCGAAGGACGTTGCAATTTCTCGCGGTGGATGCGGTCGCTCTTCGACGTGGCTTTGTCCTTCTCTTTCAGCGGTGTATCAACAGTCATTAATAAAAAATATCGTAATTGCATTCTCGGGCAAAAATTCTCTCGTGAAGATTTTTCGCTCGCGACCGACTAAAAGACCGCTTCGTCTTAAAAAAATAAAATTAATTTCATGTTTCGGTTGAGTCTGACAATGAGTAAAATTCAGGACTCTTGCTATTCTATTTTCGGGAAGAAAGTTGCTTGCGAGAATAAGATTACGATTTTTTTGCATTTATAGTCTTCTCCGGCGTCGTCGATATACGCACGTGGACCAGAGGTAAAGCCGGAAATCGGCTTTGCCGAGATAGCTCACCCCGCGTACGGAATGCCACGGTGTCTATGTGTACATGCCGTTGGTCTCGCCGCTTCGTCCTCCCGCCGTCTTTCTGCATTACCACACGGCCGCTAACTCAATTGGTATGTGACTGCGCGAGCCCGCCAGATGCACGACCGCCGTTGAGGTCAGTGTGCGGTGCGTTGTCTAGCCGAGTTTCAACCGAGTATGCGTGCTGTATCGTGAAAAAAAAAAGAGAAAAATATATACGCGCGCGCTTCCCGCCCGCAAATCTCGGAAAATCAATATCGACTCCACCGATCCTTTGGGACTGAAAATTACGCGAGATACGCGAGATTTTCACTAAAACTTTTCGAATTTATCAGAACGTGCGGAAAGATAAAGAAGACGAATATAATCGAGGCCGTTGAACGCAAAACAAGATGAAACATACGTGGGTGAGAAAAGAGGGGAAAGGCTTAAGTGGTTTTCTCCCCTTAATTCGATATTTATCTTCCCCTACCCGGGGAGAATCTGCAAAAATCAAGCTGGTTGCTGCGCTGGGGTCTTCAATTATCCTTTATAGGCGGTACGAAGTGAGTACTGACGAGGTGCCCGGACGGTCGAAGAAAGTGCAAGGCAAGAACCGGCTCGAGAGATGGTAGACCCCCTACCGGTTTTACTTGGTCCCCCTGTGTAGTAGCTTATTCAAACCCGCAGCCCCTCTCTGACCCCCCTCTCCCGCCGCTCTTCCGTCCCACGTTGAGTAGTCACGAGAGGAGAACCCTCTCCTTAATTGCAGCGGGGCGACCGGAAAAAAATGCTCGATGGCTTCTGGGTTCTACTTTATTGCGCGCTGAGTCGCGCATACGGCTCGGAACATAAAATTAAATGTCACGCGCGGAAAAGTGCAACGGGGGCCCCGATCGCGTCCTATATTTAGCGCCTGTCGCGCGCGAAACGTTATCGCTCTTGGCTGATCTGAGCTGAAACCGATCGGGAATTCAGCTCCGATGGATCTCAGCGGCTGGGTGTTTGCCCGTCGCGAATATTCATCGCGCATAATGCGACACATCGCATGCAATTATCAAGGACGACTGTAAATTTCAAATTAGTCTCACTAGTTCTAGAATTAAGATATTAAGCATCTCGGACAATCCTTATAGTAATTGTAGAATAACTATTGTTTGTAGAATAACTCTAATATATAATAATTATTATAATTCGTTATAATAATAGTAACATGTTTAACATTTTATCTCTCTTTTTTACCACGTCATACATTGATAATGCCTGTATTCTTTTGTTATCGCGCCGTTCCCGCGCTCCGTTCAACTTTGTACTTGCATTCGTTATTCAAATATGAAAATTAAGCAAAAAGAAAATTTTTTAAGTATATCTGAACGCTGCGGATTTTTTGAAAAAAATAAGAACAATTGTAAAAATGTATATTATTGAGAAAGATGATTTTATCCGCAGACGGTCAAGCAAGTCGAAGCTTAGGACGCTATGGATGTTATCAAACGCGCGTAAATTTATCCGCGAATCGCGTTCCACCGGAATGAAGACAACGAAGAAGCAGATAAGAAGACGGCGAAGACAGAGGAATCTTACGACGAGCTGGAAGCTCGCGAACGAGGCAAGGAGAAGGACGTGATGAAGTGCAGAAAAAGACGGAAGAGAGTGGATGGCGGGAGAGAGAGAGAAAGAGAGAAGCTGCGAGGAGTGAAGAAGAAGAAGACGAAGACGCGAAATGAAGGACGGGGGAATCGTCTCGGGGGCCGTACCACGGCTACCACGGACCTCTGGCATTCCCGATCATTATTCCACGGGTTTGCCAAGGGAGAGGAGGCCGGCTTGTCCTTGGCACGGAAGGCAAGGTTAATCCCACTGCATCTCGGAAGCGCGGTGATCTACCGATCGACGAGTCGATTTTGCGAACGCGCGCTCATTTCGCCACCGAATTACGCGTGTTCGGTATCACCTCAAGATGTGATTTATTTTACCGCAAAAGAGACGAGACGGGAGCTAACTTCTTAATATTATTTTTTGTAGGTGAGAGAAATTTCGTTTGAATTTTGCCGTATCTCTTTAAGAACTCGTGCTAATCGACATACCTTGTGCGCGAAATTATCTTCTTTCTCCTGATCCCTCTTCAAAGCGCTTCTTAAGTTGTCGAAGTCGCTCGTTGTCCTAAAAGTCGTGCTGTAGTTGTTGCTGAGCACCTCGGCAGGTGGCTTATAATCGCGATATCCGGTAGGTGAGGGTGTCTTCTCGAGGGGTCGTTCCACGGTTGCGGGCGTGAGGCCTCCGGAAACGACATTCGTGACGGTGGAAGAGCGATCGTCGTCCATTTCGAATACGTCGTCGCTCATGCTATCCTCGGCCGTCAGAATCTGCGAATCATAACGCAAAATCACCTTTAAACATCTCTGAAAGTGTCAACGTAACCGATATCATTGACCAATCATTTTAAATAAATGAAAATTATTTTTATATTCAAAAATTTTTTAATTATAATTATTTAAACTTATTTGTAAAAAATATGGTTTAGGTTACAGAGAAAATCATTAATGTGCCATCCAAAATTAACTGACGTTGATGACCTTAAGAAATAAGAATAACATTTAGCTGCTCAAATTCCAAGTATACAACTCTCGTGGAAGTCGAAACGGGCAGTCGAGAAAAAATCATTACATATTTTAATATAATCTCAAACTCTTTGATCGTTTTCGACTGTCATATCGGTCGCGAAGAAATCGCTCGCGGTATTTCTACCCTTGCAATAACTTTCCGCGGAACGAGTGCCGCTTGTCGCATTATCGAAGCCTACCGGAGAAAACCAGTTCGGCGGATGCCCTCCGTAAATGCCATTGCCGCGCAGCGAATGCTGAAATAACTGTCCTTCGGTCGACCGACATCTCTATCTTCGAGGAACGTGCCGTAACGCCACGGCCTTGTGTAGTACTTAAAGCCAATTAGTAACTAGTCCCCGACAGTCCCAATGTAGTGCCTAGATCGCTACATGGTCGCGTGTAATCATAAAGTGACACGAGGATGGGTACCTGGACCTTTATGAAGTTGCAAATGCGCGACGATTAACTCGCGTGGTCATCGCGAGTATCGCACGAACTCAATCACATCAGGCGAAAATTGTCATAAGGACTCTCAACACATAGAAGCGTTTGACTGCTTTATTCGAAACATGATAACGTGAAAGACTTGTCACGTAAACATGTCCGTGACGTTTCCGTCCCGACGTCGTGTGACGTCGTGACGTCGACGGCGTCGCCTCTTGAAATTGAAAGGCTAGCGTGGAATCGATAAATTTACATGGCGGAAGGCGATTGGCATACATGATTTATGGTACTGTTCCCCACGAAGAGGCACCGAAGAAGTCCGATATAATCTCCCGGGTAGCCAGCTCCCCGCTGAATATTTTAGCGGGCATATACGCTCCACGAAGGTTACTTTAGCGACGTCTGACTACTTCGATTCTTCACGTCGCGCGCCTTAATGGCCTTTATCGATAGCACGTACAAATGATAGCGTAGCGGCAGTTTACTATTATTGTCGTTGCATTATTAAAATTAGAAATTCAATATCTCGGGACTACACTTTATATCGGAGTATATTTTATGTGTGGAAAGATATTTTATATAAAAGTATATATTTTTTGTCATTCTATTCTGTATTCTCTTTATGTAATATAGAAATATCACATAAATTTTGTATTGTATATTTGCATACCTATATAATTTTTCCCCTATTTTTTTATCTTTCTTTTTTGCTTTCGATATGTAAAATGATATCAGATTTGTAGAACTATATGCTGATCTCAAGATTTGAATTAATTTACACCATGTACAGCATGTTATGATGGAACAAAGTGACAGAGGTGTCATGGTAATGAATACGCACATTGTTCCGAAGTCGCTTCCCTTCCGAACTAATTGCCCTCTGTTTCACTTTACCCCATAGATCGCCCCGCATTAATCCCTTCTCTGAGAATGTCACGTGACATGCGACCTTGATTACACGAAATCAATTCAAATATTAATGTCAAATAGACTTGCTCTTATCGTGTATATAATACAAGCTAACATATGAGGGAAACATATAACTTACATAAATAAAATAAAATACTTATCAATTCTCTAGTATTAGAATGGACGCTTTTGTGCGCACAAATATTGACACAACTTCTGGAAAAGCAGTTCTGCTAATGGATGACCGAAATACGAAATAGTCTGTTTCAGTGTGTGTAAAAGGCAAGAATCGATGAAGCAAAAAAAAAAAGAGATGGAAATTACAGCTTTAAAAATGTACTATTGATCGAGCCAGATGCTTAATCGATGGTGACCTGCGTACGACTACTGGACTCTTGGGATACTTGTTGCACCGGTTCTCCACGCTCATTACTCAACTGACGGTTGCCCATATACCGGTGATAAAGTCGGCAGCGATAATTGGGTTGCGAAAGCACGGTCGCGATTCCACGACACCTCGCGTGGTCGATCGATTCTCCCAAGAATAAACCCACAAGTTACTCATGAAATGGATCAAATGTTTTAAAAATTTCATACAAGTTTTTGACACCGCAAAAAGGAAAAAGAAAAAACGTAGTACAAAATAAATTTTTATAATTCGTATATTATAAAAAAGTCTAAATAAAATAATGGGCTCTTAATAAATGTCTTATAACTTTCGAAACACTTGATCAATCACACGAGTTACTGTACATTAAATAAAGATGTACTTACATTAAGGGACTCCGAAGCGGGAACGGTAACTATAGATGGACCGTCACCATCACCAGCACCACCTCTCATCGTGCTCTTCTAAATGCGAATATCGTCTCTCATTGAATAACTGCGAACAGCAAAATGACGCCATCCGTTAGTACGGTCTATTTAATCAGTAAATAAAAATAAACAGTATATTATGAGAAATTTTTATGTAGAATCATGTAACTTAAAAAAATTTTCTTCTCTTCCCCCAATGTTTTAAAAATAAAATATAGCTACTCCAGTAAATATTTACAGTACATAATTACTACAGTAAATATTTCAATCATTTTAACACGTTAAAAAGAGATCGGATTTTATCTCTCAATCCCTTCATCCTCTTTTCCGCGAGAAGTCTATAAAATACAAAGGCGTTATCGCACTTCTAGGTGACTGATTCTAGTTCGAGTGTAAATTCTATCTCGAAGGGTGCGAGTTTGCTTCGCACTGTCGAGATCAAAGTTCGACTAATAGAGATATATAGGTACCGTAGTGGAGTCATCGCGTCAATTCTAATCCCGATCAAGGAAAATCGAGGAACTGTATTCCGCGAGGTACTCCACTCCGCCCGATGAGTAATTCTCCATTCAATTTCAACCCTCCTTCGACTCACAGTCACGCAAACACGCGCGGATTTTCACGCAACATCACAATAAGCGTTCGTGAGATCATCTCTCTATCTCTCTTCTTATCGGCGCTCCATCGATACGTGCATCTCTCTTTCAGGAGCACAGCTTCTTCTCTCGCTTCTTCTCTCTCCCTCCTTCTCTCCCCTCATCAGCGCATTTTACAGCCTAACGCGCTCTATACTTCGTCCGCTCGTCCTGCCATCCCGCTCTCTCCCTCCCTCAACACGTGCGCTTTCTCATCGTCCTGTTCACCCCAGCCATCTTCAACATGCAATCACGCACGCATCATCTTCACTTCACACACTCAAACATGCATACACACACACGCCGCACATAAAACGTCCCGCATGACGTTCTATCCCTCTCAGGTGCACACACTTAGCCTAACTACATTCGAGTGTCGTTCGTCACACGCCCGACAACAGGACCACTCTTCCGTTCTTTCTCGCTCGCTCTCTCAGCCGCAGCATCTTCACGCTCCGTTTCATCGTTTGTCTCCCGCGTCCTCTCGCTCTCGCTCTCGCGCCACGACGGGTCTTCGTCCTCTTTGTCACGCGCACGATCAGAGGGACCGGCGTGCCGTTCATCTCTGTCACGCGCTCTCTCTCTATCTCTTGACGTGGCCCACCCACCGCAATAAGTTCCACCCGCCCACGTTACCTTTCACACACTTCTCGCCGGCCGATCATCCGTTGCGGATCGGGAAGCAGGCGATTCGCTTATCTCATCGGCCGATCTTTCGGCGACCGACCGATCGGCCGACCGTCCGATCCGAAAAAATGAGACAAAGGGGCATTTTTTTTTCTTCGCCGGGACCAATCGAATATATTACCGCCGCGATATCTAGCAGTAATTACGCACGCGTAAATTCGCAAATTATTATACATCTCGAAACGCGAGAGCGATTTACCATACATTCCAAAATCGATATTTTTTAAATAAATTCTCTTTTTAAATCCTTTTTCTCAAATAAAATTAATTCTTCTCAAAGCGTTTCTATTGATTTTTGCTTGAATTAAGTTCCTCGAATCGTTGTGATAAGATAACAGAATCGACTTAACAAATGCGGAGCAACTAAGATCAGAACAAAAAGTGTCTCTTCCAATAGAATGCTTCGTTGAGTTTCTATAGGGAAATTATTTGTCCTTGAAGTCAATCCTCGGTACGCTTTCTCGGTCTCCTGGTTTCTTCTCCGATTTTCACGGCCAGTCGAGCGAAACGTACTTATGGTCGGAAACATTACTAGAATCAGTATGCTCGAAGAACAAAGGATGTAATTATCTTAATCGATAAAGTTATCAATTTGTAAAGGCGCTTAACGCAAGATGGATTTCATTGAATTGGATTGTTGATTAAGTGTTTACTCAATCAACACACAGCGATCGAAGAAAACAAATGCTTCATATCTTTAACAATTTTAATAAATATGGTTCACCAACAAGTACAATATTTTTATTATCCATTTTATGTTCTAAGAAAATATCGGAGAATACTTATTGAAATATTTATTAAAGTTCGCGCAAAAGAATATGCTAAGTGATCCAAGAGAACTTCAGAAGTTTTTTAAAAATATCACGTTTAATCTATAGTACACCGTAATCCTTTAACCTAATTAAAGGTATAGAACTATTTATGGAAAAAATCATTGTTATAAAAACTAAAAAATTTTCAAACTCTCTTAGATTCCTCCTAAACAGTTAAATGCTACGTATAAATGTTTCGATATTTTTGGTAACATTTGATAAAATGATCTCCAGAGCAGATCTCGTATTTCCTCAATCAATCTCCGCGTTGACAAAAACGCCACGCATGAATACCTACAATGCGTGAATACTAACCATACACTACGGTTTCGCGGAATCGCACCGGCGATTCCGTATCTCGCGCTACGAAATCACGTCGAGAATTTGATTGCACGACGCTCGCGTTGGTCTTAATGAGCGCGAGCCTCCGATCGAGTAAAGGCCATCGAGGTCCGGCGGATCATTCGGGTCCTCGCGCGCACCATAAAAGTTCTCTCTACATTTAGCCACGGCTTCGTATATGTTCTCCACCTACATCGCTGCCCCTCTTGTTTGTTTTACGAGTCCGTGCCGCGTTTTCATTATGTTTACACGCGTCGCGAAATTGTCGCGTGACGCAAATTACTTATAGGCCAGTTTATTGATCGTCGCGTTAATTGATTGCACAATGGCCGCTTGTCCAAATATCTCGGAGATTCTTTCTTCGACGCACGATCGTAATCGTGACGTCATGGCGTCTTAGATATTGATTTATCCACGGTACGAGTACGATTCGCCACGTGTGTGTCGTGTAGGTTATCGCGATCGGGGGTACGAAATTAACGACGGCGTGTAACATCTCTGGGAACGAGAGATCGCATCGAGTCCTATTGTTGTCGTCATTTCGAAGTCACGTCTACGACCTCGGCGCAGCGCACCCGCGACCGGCGCTTTCTAATCTGCATCTGCAATACGACCGTGAATCGCGGCTTTTAACTACAGATTCTCTGCCGGTGTAATAAATTATTTCACGTTCCTCTATCTATGCAGTCCGATTACCAGCCCGTAGGGAGATTTCTCTGCGATCGATCGTCTTTAGAACTGCGATTGGCGCAGCCAGGAAGTAGGTAATCGGAATCGCTACGATGTGATCGTCACGAGCGAAGATCACTTTCCGGTATTTACATGCATCTCAAAGAGGCTGTTGAAGCACCCGAGAAAGCAGTATTATCATTATCATTAACGCATTAATTTTATTGCACTAATTTTATCCATGTAATTTTTTATTTATTTTAAATTCAAAACGAGAGAAATAAAACTACGCTGTAACGAACGGAAACTCGGTCAAGCGCCTGAGCTGCAGTTATGAATGCTCAACTACTTGTTACACTTTTCGCTGCACATGCGCGTTGTCGGAAACTACCACAATTATAAAAGATAACGTGTGATACTTTCTTGTTTTGTTGCTTCCTTTTGTCCTCTATTTTTATGGGTGGCAATATAATGACTTGGACAACTTCAATATACGTCCAATTAAAAGCATCAGAACGAGAAAATAAAAATTGCAATTATTACCTAAAAACGTACGTTAAGCTATAGAATATTAAATCAAATATAAAAAGTTACAATAAATATCATAAATTAAGCTCGCTCGACCTTCGTTATTTCTACATTATTGCCAGGAGATGTACCGCGTGAGCATAGGCGGTGACTTTGAAACAGCGCTTCGATATTGATTAAATGCCATTACGAAAGTCTACGTCCGTCCCTATGCGTGCTGTTCCATCGACAGCGAACGCCAATGTCGCGTATTAACATTACGAACTTCTATTTCCAGTATTACGTGCGTGCACACGATAGCATTGCGGGGCAAAAACAGCCGAAGATTAAATCTCGCCTGAACTAACGCTATCGCGCGGAATGCATCATCGCCGGATATTTCTGTCAAGAAATTACCCCGAAGTCGCTATCGGATACCATCAACTGTGCGCCGATTCTTATACGCCTGACGACATCGATCACAGAGATATATATATGTTCGCATTTACAGCATAAGCTCACTCGTGCGCGATGTAACGTCATTCGGGATAATCGTTCGCGACACCGGAATATCTCTCAGCGACGAGAAAGAAGAGAGCGTAAAGCTATGCCAGGCAACAGGCAATAGGAACAAGGAATAGAAATCAGAAATCATGTATAAATGCAGAATAAACAGTGACACAGGCAATAGACACAGAGTTTCCGTCACGTTGGAAATTCTGTGCCTATTGCTTGTTGCCAACCAATCATAGTATTCGAATTTTTTAGGTTGTAATTAACGATTTTTTAGTTATTTACTGTTCCTATTGCCTATTGCCTAGCATTGTGCAAGGGGCTTAAGATCGTCAAAAGTGACAGCTGCTTATCACTTGGAGAGCAAGGAGGGCGCACCAAGAAGCTCAATGGGAGAAACGCGAAGAATGACGTCACATGCTTCAGTCATTCTGTAATTATCCTAATTGACCCTACCTCTGGTGGATCGCGCCCCTACTGGCGCGCGCTGTCGGAATTCGCTGCGGCAACGCGCACGTACCTCCCAATTGGAAATCGCACGTTGACACACCTACGAGAGTAGAGAGTCTCTCCTCTCACCGGAGAGCCTGCGCTCGTGCTTAATCGAGAGAGCCTCGCTTCACCCGCGTCACTTCCCCGCGATAAAGCTACTCCGTTCTGGCCGATAACGTGGCGGTGACGTAACAACGGAGAGAGAGACACTCACCTTCCACCAACGTGCGGTAGGTCGACCCACTTTTCCCATGAACGACCGACGAACGGCAAACGAAATACGGGAGCCTCCGCGCTCCCTCGTGCTCCCTTATCGATCTCGACGCGTATTTACATCGTCCCGCTGCCCTCGGCCGAATAAAATCTCATCCCCGAGGACCCGAGTGATTGAACACGGTGCACGGTGTCACGTCGGCGCGATGGTTCGCGACACCCCAAGGAGGACAAGGGTGGTTTCCTCCACCCTTCGAGACTTAGGGGCAAGCCTCGTCGCGACGGTGTTCGTCGTCGTCACGTGACAACACACAGGTCTGACCGACGCACACTCGCGGCAGTCACGGTCGTCGCGCAGCTGTCTGACGGCCGGCAGCGCAACGGAATGAGGTGGAGCGCGACTATTGTGTGTACGGGCCGCGTAACGCGAGGGCGATGTGAGTTTCCGCGAGACGGGAGACGTTATCCCCGCGGAGTGCAAGGAGCGTGAAAGACGAGGAGAACACGCTCGCGCTCGTGCTCGCGCGCGCGCGCGCACGACCCCCGATGCGTGTTTACTTGTGTGCATTAAGAGGAGAGAAACGAGGGCGCACGCAAGCGCAGCCCGCAGCGTCATCGTCGTTGTGCTCCGTTGTTGTCGACTCGTTACTCGTTACCTCGACTCGATATCGCGCACGTCTCCTCTCTTTCCTTTCGTTCTCTGTCTCTCTCTTACACGCACGACCACCGTTACGTCACCGTGTACATGTGCGTCACCGAATGCGTGCGCGCACGTGGTCGGATGCGTACGTTCGACATATGTATATGACAATTCCGCGTAATCCAAACTTGCACATGGAATACGCGAAATGTATTGAGATCCAATTGAAAATCGAAAAGCCAGTTTTTTCTTTATTTAAATTAAATTTTTTCCGGAATATTGAAGAAGAAATAACAAGTGCGGAAAACATAATTAAAAGAAACAGACCTAGAGGATCGATTCTTGCAATATGATGCAATCAAGAGTAAAGAGAATGCCAAAAAGTAAATTCACTTGTTGATAGCACTCTTATCGTGACATAGAGCTTTTTCGATAGATCATTATTTTCCACAAATCTTTCTTTTTTTATTTCTATCCATATAAATTGAGCTATTTGCTTCTTTGTCGAGCACAATAGCACCTATAAATAAAATATAATAATGTGACTAATAACAAGAGAGAGAGAGAGAAAGAAAGAGAGAGAGAGAGAGAGAGAGAGAG